TTACGCGTATACAAACTTTCTATTCATGATGTATTTTTTATTTTTTTAATTATTTTTATGCGTATATAAACTTTGTGTATGTGTGTATATATTTTTTATGCATTGAAATATATTCATATATATATATATATATATACACGTATATATATATAGTATATACATATTATATACTTATGTATATAGTAGTACATATGAGAGACTAGAGGGGGGAGGGGGGCGACTGACCGCGTGCCTCCGCGCGCGCGTGGCTGATCACGTATCAGCCCCCCCCCCCCCCACCCCACCCCTCCTCCCAGTGCAGCCGCCGAGCCGTGTGTGACGCTGCCAATTCCTCTGCCCGATTTGCCCGCTTCTCTCGGCCGTTTCTTGAATTAGTTGAGGGGAAATATTCCTCCTATCTTTCTCTTCTGTTTCATCTCTAAGGAATAAGATTTTATCCCTTTGATTCGAGATCAAATCAGTCAGATAAACCTTATCTCCAAACCGGTGAACCTTAATCAATCCGCCACCAAATCCTCTCGGGTCTGAGCCGATCTCTCCCTCTTCCGGATATAAATAGAACCCGCAAGACCTCCTTTCTCGTTTCCAACCCCTAGCTCGAGCTCCCGTGCCCTAGCCGTCTCTCCCCGCAGCTGCCTTCTCTCTCCAAGCGTCGGCCGTCGTTCCATCCGAGCCGCACCGCCGAGTAGCCGCCGCCTCTGGTCGCCGTCGCCACCACCGGGACTGCAGTGAAGATCTCCGCCCCGGCCGCCCGTTCTTTTGTGCCGAGTTCCACCGGAGGTTGCCCGTTGCCGTGAACCAGTGGATTGCCACTGTGTTTTGATCTCCATCCTCTCCGTCCGTCGCCGTCCAACGTCACCTTCAGTCGCCGTCGCCGTCGTTGGATTCGCAAGGAGGAGAAGAAGCCCGGCCACTGGTTCCTTTTCTCCGTAACCCGCTGGAAGCCCCTCGTCGACGTGAAGCCGATCTACTCCTCCTTCAATTCGTCCGAGCCTCGCCGTCAACTCCGTGGATGCTAGACGTCGTCGTTGCTTTCCTCGGCATCATAGAGCCAAGGCGAAGCCCGTCCGCTGGTTTCCCTCCGCTGAAGATCGCCGGAGCACCACTGTCGTCGTCAACCAGAACCTCGCCGCCCTTCGGAGCTCGTCGTCGGTCGTCTCCCGTCACCATCCGTGGTCGTCCCACCCCTTGGTGAGTTCATCTCGTCGTCCTCTCCGCGGTGTTGCTCTCAGATAGTCCGGCCGAGTTTCCTAGCACCTGTGGCCTTGCGGTTCAATGCCTTGCCGGCGATGACGTCATCAATAATGTCATAAAGCCCGTTTTCCTTCCCTAAATTAAATCGTAAATCCTTTTCTGTTCAAGGCTAAAATCAGTTTAATCTTGTAGAATTCATAACTAATTCATATGAAGTCGGAATGAGGCCGTTCAAGTCTCTAAATTTATCTAAAATCATGATCTACATGCTTGTTTACTTTTTATGTACTGTTTATTTGGTTTTTATTAGTCTTTTTCTTCGTTTTGCATGTTAGCTTGTCGTTTCCATCGTTGCGAAGGTTCGGGAGTGCGTTGGAAGTGATTCAGAAGATTAATTGAAGACCGATTATTGTAAGGCAAGTCACACATATCCTAAACACAATCCTTTGAACATGTTGATCCTATATTTAAATTCTCTATTTATTTCAACTGTGCATTTATTTTCGAATTTCACCGGGTGGTGTGAACCTATTTCTTTGTTATGGCCAATTTGCATTGAATACCCTATTCCTTGATACCTTGGGTAATAAATTGATTAGCTTGAACCTTATATATTGGTTTGGTTCAGGTAAATGCTATATATATAATTGTTTAGCCATGCTTAGAAACATTAGCTCATTAATGGGATGAATCATACTACATTATTATTTATGGTTATATTTAATGGTAGCTCACGATAGTTAATCGTGGTACGATAATTAATTGATAATTAAAAATTGACAATGGTGGGTTGTGAGCACATGGTTTTGAAGGTCGTGCTCATGACAATTAAGGACCGGTTCGCGAGCTACTGTTGTGAGACATTAACCGTGCCAACCACAAGCCAGCGTGAGCAACGGCTTTATCTTCTGTCTAGCATGGTTCATTGCGGGGCGCCAGACTGAGAAGTGGCGAGAAGTCCGTGGGGGTCGCTGGGGAGTCTATGCCTCTGGTTGTTGAGGGGGTGATTATGATACAGGAACGGTGCACTGTGATGAGTTGTGTTGTGCAGAGGGTATTGTCACAGCCTCTATTTGGGTACTTTCCAGTATCGCGACGCATGGTAGACATGATGTTGAGGCTGTGTCTTGTGGATACAGTGGTACACCTCTGGCCAGAGTAAAACTATTCGAATAGCCGTGCCTGCAGTCATGGGCGGGTTGAGCAATGCTTTTCGTGATTTGTCTCACACCTCTCACAATAATTATTGATGCTATAACTGGTAATAATATTGCTTAGCTCCTGGTTTGGAGTTAGATCTATACAACCGGGTATGGTTGTTCAGGATGGTTGGGCCTGTGCAGCATTGGGGTGCTGTGCAATGTTGATTAAAATTGATGATTAATTACTCTACTGTTTTACTACTCTTAAATATTTGCTAAATACTGCTTTTGCAAATGAGCCTATATTATTGCCATCCTTTGGTATCCTTGTGCACTTGCATATTTGTTGTGTGGCTTGCGGAGTATTCCATGTACTCACCTTGCAATAATCAATCAAACCTCAGTTGAAGAGAAAGGATCCAGAAGGAGAAGACGTTTGGCTTATAGCCCAGTTGAGCTGCCTGTGGGAGTGGAGCCGGAGCTTCGCTAGATTTTATTTTCCGCTGCTGTTTTTCTTTTCTTTTGTAAGTATGCAACGTTATTGTTGTGATGGATTTGTATATTGAATTGTCAGTTTGTGTACCTCGGCTGATTCCTGGACGAGGATTTTATGCACAAATAAGTTCGGAAATTACTTGTGAATTTCCGGGCATGACAGCGCACGACGATGGAGGCGGAGGCGTGCTAGCTTGAAGCGGCACATGACAATGGAGGCGGAGGTGGGCTAGTTAGAGGCGGTGCAAGGCGATGGAGGTGGAGGCGGAGGCGGGAGGCGGCGCACGCCGATGTAGTCAGGCAAGCACGAAGGAGATGAGAAGACGGTGTGAACTGAGGAGGATGGGAATGGTTTGGATGGATGCGAGAGCCGGAGGGCACCTCTCTGCCTCTAGGGTTTCTAGCAAATTAGTGGGCTTATTGGGCCCAATTCGGTCATTTCGGTTAACCGAGGGCTCTGACTGAATTGACCGAACAGATTTAAGTCTTTCACTGGTCGAGACCGAATTTCTCAGTCTCGGTTTTTTCGGTCTTGGTCTTTTCGGTTCGGTTCTTCGGTTTGGTCTTACTCTGCCCAACCCGACTCAAATCCAGTGCTCTACTCAACCAATCCTCACACGAACTGATAAGATTGAAGTGCTCTAAGTGAGGAAAAACCTCACTAAGTTTGGTGCCAATCCAACCACGGTTGAGCCTCCAATCACTGATTTGATAAAGATCGGGTAACAACCACTAAGCTGAACAATCTGCAACTCTTCTTCTCCACTCTCCTCCCCCTCTCTTGTGTTTAATTTGCTAGTTGCTTCTCCTCTCTCCAATGGCTGCTGCTCTCTCTCTCTCAATGGAGGCTAGGTTTTCGTTTGCACCACAAAAATATGAGGCAATCTTCATCATTGATGAAGACATGTATCAATAGCTCATATTTGTAAGACTTTTGGACTAGAATGGGCTGAGAGCAAAGGCTCTATGTGGATGGAGTTTAGCCTAACAAACTCCACCTCCCGACATCATGGAGCACCTGGCTGCCTTCCGGTAGTCATACCAATGAGCTGGCAACAAACCTTGAGATTCTCCATTGTCATCACCTTGGTCAACAAGTCAGCCCCATTATCATCGGTGCAGACTTTCTCAAGCCGCATTTTCCGAGAACTTAACACATCACGAATCAAATGATTACGCACGTCAGTGTGCTTTGACCTTGAGTGGTATAGCAGCATGGAGGTCTCAGATATGATCAACGGCTAGTGTAGCCTTCTTCCGCAAATATGAACTCAGGGAGATTGGAAGTTAATATTCAAGGAAGAAGACCACACTAGCCATCGACTACATCTGATTGGGTTTAGACCACAAGCTCTGGATCCTTCATATTGGTGTTTGTGGCTCTAAATTAAGTTTGTCTAGACTTATCCTGGTGTATGTTGGCTTGTATATATCTGTCTAGATCTTTCTTCTCACTTGGCATGTCCCCTCTTCTCTTATGGAGTCTTGTTTTTAAACTCTCGGGGTGCTCCAAGAACTAGGAAGACAAGTATGGATACGATCCGAGTAATCCTTGTAATGTCCGAGTAGAACTCTTCTTCAACTTCTTTGTCTGAAATACCTTTCGTATATGAGGCATGATTCTGTATTAAGAATTGGTATATAGTGGGCTCCGTCGGGTCTAACTCTAAGAGTATTGGGTACCCCTTATCGTTAACACTGACATAATTACCCTTGGAAGTTATTATCAACGGAAGCCCATAATTAAGAGACTAGTGTAAATTAATCTTTCAAGCAGGGTATAACTATATCCCCGTATAGTGGAGCTATTAGTTATTCTCTGGGTAGGTAGTTGCTTCCTTCCCTGTGGAAGTGGATGGGTATTCAAATTTCAACTATGCCATCCAATCAAGCCACGACGATCCACAGCCATAGTGTAAAAATTCAAGTCAATTGCTTACAACTTCACTCAACATGACCAATATATATATACTAATTAAATTTGTGGAACTTGGATAATGCAATCTGCATATTCAAAATTATACACATGGAGTCATGCATGGACAAGAAAATGCAGGCAATTACGCACCCAATTGTAGCAAGCCACTCGCAAATTTTCGCATTTTTTCTTTGCCGCCATCACACCTAACCGACTCCTTTTCCACACAAACAGATTATAAATAAGCACCATATTTCCAACTCCGTTCATCCCACGAAACAACACGAGACAGAAAATGGCACCTTCCAAGGTCAGCCTCGCCGCCGTGCTCGCCGTGGCCATCTCGCTGGCCATGGCGGCCACCACCACCACCTCGGCGCAGAACACGCCGCAGGACTACGTCAACCTGCACAACAGCGCGCGGCGCGCGGACGGCGTCGGCCCGGTGAGCTGGGACCCCAAGGTCGCCAGCTTCGCGCAGAGCTACGCGGCCAAGCGCGCCGGCGACTGCCGGCTGCAGCACTCCGGCGGGCCGTACGGCGAGAACATCTTCTGGGGCTCGGCGGGGCGCGCCTGGAGCGCCGCCGACGCGGTGGCGTCGTGGGTGGGCGAGAAGAAGAACTACCACTACGACACCAACACGTGCGACCCGGGCAAGGTGTGCGGCCACTACACCCAGGTGGTGTGGCGCAAGTCGGTGCGCATCGGCTGCGCCCGCGTCGTGTGCGCGGCGAACCGCGGCGTGTTCATCACCTGCAACTACGACCCCCCGGGCAACTTCAACGGCGAGCGCCCGTTCCTCACCCTCGACGCCGCGGCCAAGTAGACGACCACTCACTCGTACACAGTCGTGTTGAACTGCATGCTATGTCGCTGCCGCAGTACATTTCATCGATGTTTGTGACTCTGGGATCGACGTCCGTGAACAATAAAGCATGTAATGATCTTAATAATAAATAATTTCTTGGTATATATGCACATCAACAGCTGATGCATTATAAGCCTTTGAAAATGCATTTTACAGATCCCGAATTCGTCCAGGGCACCATCGATCACTAGTTCAAATATTTCAAATAGGTCTTAACCTGCTGCATGCGCCATCGTGAAATACCACGGTAGTTCATTGGTGGTTTCAACGAGGGTTAGGTCCAACTGACAAGTGGGACCTACTTCGAAATTTTCTTTTTTCCTGTGTTTCCTCTTTTCTTTTCTTTTTCTTCTCCTTTTGTCTTTTTGTCCCTTTCTTCTCCTTCTCGCTTCATCTTCTGGCCTCTTATTTTTATAGGTGGACTTCATATTAGAGTGGTTTTTTTTTACACAAAACATGAATATTTTAACCCTTAAAGCATCTCAAATAGAAACACTTTAAGCAACAAAGTGGTAATAAATCTCGTAGAGAGTTATAATTTTTATATAAAGTTTACCGCTTTAGGTAATGGAGTTACAAGATTGATTTCTTATGTAAAACCATATCTCAATTAGTGTTTATAGGCTAATTTCATAGGGACCTGCCCGTATAAATAGACATGTTTCACGAGCAAATTTCTTAGAGATTCATTCGTAAATTAAAAATAGGTTTTCGTAGGTGGTCATCGACCTGAGGCGGCCTTAAGTATCTACGCATATGCTTTTCTTTAAGGGCCGCTTGTGAAAAAAGGTGGCATGTGGAAAAATAGTTTTTCTACTAGTGTAAATTTGAAGTAACATTATTTTCGAGTACCCATCGATTGAATTTCAAAATTATGTTACTTCAAATTATCTTATTTTTAGAAATTCAAAATCAGCTTCTACATAAAGCACGATCTCCTTTTGTTACCGTTTCCCTCGATCCCTCGATTTTACGCAGAAACATGCCAAATATTCCTCAAACCACCTACAATATATATATATACTGGACAAAATGCAAAGCTCAAATTAATCATGCTAGCTGACTTGGGAACGCAGTACAATCTCTTAAAGATTTGAAATCATGGATATGCATTTAAATAATGCATGATTAGACATAAACCAAAGCTGCGACAACACCTTATTATAGCTTATTTATCGTTCGGTAGTGACACATCAGCCAGATACACCTAATCAAGCTCGTTATATATATAGCTAGCTAGTTTAGCCGCCGGGACAACGTGGATGGATATTCTGAAGTATATCTCGTTAGTAGGGATGGCAATTGTGCCCGTTTGCCCATTTACCCGTGGGTAAAATCCCTATTAGGGTTGGGTTTGTTCTCCATTTTATACCCATGGGTATCTTATTGGGTCAAAAGCTATGCCCGATGGGTAAATGGGCATGGGTATGGGTAATCACTACGCATGCCCGCTTTGCCCGTTTACCCGCGAAATCTAACTTACATGTAGGCTAGGAGCAAAATCCACTAGAATACATAAGCCACGTTCTTTGTTTTTTACGGTTTCCCTTTTATTTTCCTTATTATTTCTCTCCCCTTACTGTATCGCCGCCAGAGAAGAGATACGACACCGAGGCGGAGAATATTTGATATTTTAAGTTCGATTCGAACTTAGAAGCTTGTAGATTTTTTGTTCCACTACTGCTTTTGTTGTGGCGGGTAAACAGGCACGCCCGCGGGCATAAGGCGCCCACGGGCAATGGGCATGGGCAACCATCGTTACCCGTCATGTAGTAATAGGTATACTCACGGGCACAAATAATCTTACGGGCACGGGTATGGGTAGGAACTACCCGTGCCCGTCGCGCCCGATCGTGGATGGATATCCTGAAGTATATCTCGTTAGCTAGCTAGTTTAGCCTTTTTAGTTTCGATACAGCCAGTAAATACTACCACCGCCCGAAATTACAAGGAAAAGATGTTAACGCAATATGTGCATATAGCCCTAAACAAAATATATGTCTACTTGGCGCTAGCTTTAATTAACTGCCAAGATACAACGAGTAAAAGGTTTTAATTTCCTGATCATCAACAAAATCAGCTGGACCTAAAATAGACCTTTCCATCAAGGAAATACCTAAAATTAATTCTGGTTCCACGATCAATACAAATCTATATTGATCTTTCTATGCATTGATTCGTGCTTAAGTTTTTATTTCAGCTCAGCTACAGTAGTTAATATGGATCAATGTTTTGCTAAAACATCTCCCAACACTTCGCTTTCTCTGACAGTACACGTGCTTAACGAATTAAGTTAATTTGGAATAGTCAATTAAATAACAAGCTTTAGCAGCCACCGCGCTACTGTTATTTTATGATGACAATCTCAAGAGCACCAAGTGACCTACTCTCTTGACATACCCACTGAACACAGGCGCCGCTGGACACCATGCCGTACGAAAGAAACGATAACTGTAGTAGACCATGTGGTATAATGACCAGACCAACAAATTAAGCTAGTCTAGTCATCCTTGTTATGAAATATTTAGGTGATCTCATCCAACTATATGGATAGAGCAGCAACCAACTCTGGGACACGACGGTTGGTCGTGCCCCACATCTCTTCTCGCCTCACGGCGATTCTAGTAACGGACGCGATGGTTCCCAAACCATCGCGTCTTCTATTACCGCCTCTCTCCCCCCTATATATTGTAACCATTGTTATCAATAAAGAATCGCTCACTTCATTCCCTACATTCTTGTGTGTAATTCTCTCTCACTCAATCTCTCTTGCTCAATCAATTCTATTCACAATACGTTATCAGCACTTTCGCTCTCGCGAAGGAGATCGCGAAGTGAAAGAAGGAAAAAACATCGCTTTTGATCTAACAGAAAAGCGAACAGAAGAATCATCAGAGAAGGTACGATGCCTACCTTTCATTGGATCATGGATGCCGTTCTCGGCCTCCCTTGCCATCAGCATGTACGCCGGCTCCGTCATCTTCTTCGCCGACCGATGAGGAGTACGCGCGGGGATCCCGCAGAGGCAGGGCTAGGGTTGGTGGCCGCTGCTACTACCCTCGCCGCCGTGTGACCGCAACTCCGGTTGTGGTTCCCCCGCCCGTCCCTGTTGCGCCTCCTCCTCCGCCTCCGGTTGCCGAAGAACCTCGCCGGATCCTTGTGCAGGGGGTGCAGTACTGCGCCTACCACGGTTGGACTGCAGTGGTGACACTGCCCGGCGAGCCATGAGATCTTCCCTTGGAGATGGAGTCGCTGCCGCCACCATCAACCGCTCCTCCACCACCTCCACCGACACCAAGCCGACGCCGACGCCGTTCCTCCACTCCCGCGCCACTGGGGTCTGGCCGGACCGGTACCCTGGCTGCGCGCACGGGAGCCGCCCTTCTTCAATCCGTCCTCGTCTCGTCGTCACGCCGGTGAAGCCGCCGCTCGCCGTCCCGGCCTCCGCCACACATTGAAGTATTACCGACGTAATTAACTTTTTCAAATGCACATTAATTTAGACAAAATTCAAAGAAGCGGTACATGGCATGATAACAACAATGTAGGACCACACAGCGAGAACAAAGCCTGAATGATTGAAGCACGCAAAAACCAAAACTGTGAAAACACTACTACAAAATGGATTTGTTGCGGTCAATTTGGGTTTTCTACAGTGACCAGCACTTCCACCAGTGACTAATGGCCAATGAGAAGACATCATTTTCACTAGCAGCCACCAGCCGCAAACAAAAAGGCATTTACACTGCCGGGCGACCTAGCCCAGCCGACAGTGAAAATGTTTTTCTCTCGCGGCTACATTAAGCTGACCGTGTGCAAAAGTCTAATTTTTGTAGGCAACTAGTTAAGATAACCGCCAGCATAAGCCTGTTTGTTTAAGCTTAATATAATTGTAATTTTGATTATTGAGCTAGTTATAATAAGTCGACATAAAATAAGTTGTTAGCTGTTTGTTTCTCTAGAATATTAGCTGTTTGTTAGTTATTAGAATATTAGCTGTTTGTTAGTTATTAGCCACCCAATAATCTAAAAAGGACACATTTAGAGTGGCCATAGACAAAAAAAACCACATGCATGCAACGGCCCATTTTCATGTATCAAACACGAAATTAAAATCAAATCATTCCATTTCCACATATCAAATATGAAATTCAAATGAAATCGTCTAAATCACCACTGCATCAAATGGAAGAACAGACAAAATAAATTCATCCATGCAACCCTCCCAAGCGTGTCCCTCAATCTATACTCAACATGCAACCATGCCACATCATCACCCACTAGCAATAATTACATATTTAATCTCATGCAATCAAGCAATATCATCTACAATCTATTTAATTCTACAAATCAGCATACAAGCATATTCAATTATCACACCCTCACATGATTTTCGTAATATTTTAACAAGTCTATCATTTTAACAATATTTACTATATACTTATCAATATGTTTCACTCATTAAAGTGCGGGTATTATTTTTTTTTATCATAAGTTCTGATAATTATTGATGTTTCATTATTCTTCTAACTCCTAGCTCAATTGTCGAAAAAATATAGTGAAAATTGTTAATTAGTTCCTGCAGTAAAGCGCGGGGAATCACCTAGTTCAAAAGAATTCTAGCCGCCATGGACGAGCTCACAGGTGACTGTTGGTATTTGTTAACGACATTACTAGAAATATAATTCCCAGCAATGGCGCAGAAACGCTCGTGGTTTATTATGGTTACATATTTCATCTGCAAGCGCACGGATATACCATTGTAGCATTTCACCTGAGAGTATTCCAAGGGTATCGTATTTGATTAATCCCGTGGGAAGATTATAATAGAGAGAACCGTACTAATAATTTATATATTACTTGTAATAACCAAAGTCTAAGCAGGGGTTAACATAATTCCAAGGGTAGAGTGACACTAAGCAGAAGCATTTATACTCTAATTCATGATTATCTAAGCTAAGTGGAAAGAATATAGAAAGATCATATTCCTATAATTATAGTTGTCACGCCCAGAAATTCACGAACCAGGATTTCTAAGCTGAATGTGCATTAAACCCCTGTCTAGGACTAGCCAGGGTACACAAACGATAATTGTTGACACACAGATCCACATCTTACAAAAATATAAAAGATTACAAATGCAG